GCTGTCCCATCCTCTAGATAGGGCATTTGATCCTTTTCTTTATTCACTTTGTTTATTCCTTTGTTTATTCCATTTACTATACTTCTCATCTCAGATAATGTGTGCTTCATTTCAGACTGGTTCCCTTTTATAATTTCCATTTCCATTTTTATGCTTTTTATCTCTTTGCTGAATTTATCTACACTTCCCAAAAGTTCATTGAGCATCTTTATAACCAGTGTTTTGAACTCTGCATCTGTTAGATTACTTGACTCCATTATATCTGGATCTCTGTTCTGTTCTCTCATGTGGTTTCTGCTTCTTTGTCTTCCCATTTTGGCTGTCTTTCTGTGTTTGTTTCTATGTACTAAGCAAAGCTCGTAAGTCTCCCGGTCTTATTAGTGTGGATTTGTGAAGTAGGTGTCTAGTGGCACAGTCCTGAGAGGGGTTCAGCTGCAGGCCAAATTTAGCCCAAGCCTGTGTCCTTCCAGGGCCACCTGTTAAGATTCAGCAAGCAATCCACAGATGCTGTGCTTATAGTTACCTCAAAAGGCCACACCAGAAACCAAAGCCAGCTGCCTCCAGTGTGAGTCTAGGCACTGCTCAGCAAGGAGCACCTGGCTCACTGAGGATCTACCTGGATATGGCTTGAGTGGGGCTGTGAGTTGGGGTAGGTGGGGTTTCAGGGAATCCTCTGAGGGGAGTGACCTTTGTTATCCAGTTTGATGACATCATGGCTATGGCAGCTCTGTGTCCAGTGCACTGGTGTGGGGAGGGCTCAACAGGGAACAATGGATACTGCCGCACTTCTGTACAGAGTGAGTCTCACCTTAGCCCTCACTCCGACAATGTCTCCCTGTAAGTCCCTGGTGCCCCCTGCGTGCAGCTGAATCGGCACTGGTGCTCAGAACGAGCAGGTCCATTAGTGCAAAAATCCGCTCATGGACGCGGCTCCTTTAAGAAGCATCTGCCGCTTCCGTGTCCTCCATCTCACTCAGACGCTTGATCGGGCAGCCATGCATCCTCGCTCCATCCGACCTTCTGCCATTGCAGGGTGATTTCTTGTTTTTCTCTCTAGTTGTGTGGCTTGTTCATCTAAATCCCAGGTGATTTTTCCTTGCTGCTGCTCCTTGTTTCCGTCACAACTTTGATTTGGTCGCCAGGGGGATGAACAGAGCCTCTACCATCTATGCCATTTTCTTCCTCCCTATTGTATTCTTATTGTTACTTTCTATTGTTGCTCTCATGGTTTTATTTTTATTGTTTTTTTTAATGGTTATCTTCTACTTATGCAAAAGTATTAGTATTGTTATTGCTGCAATTCTCTTGTCCATACTTTCATAGTTATAAGATTGCTGCTGAAGGTCCTACGAGCACATCCAGGGCCAAATTGAAATAAGGGGTAAAGGCAGATTTCAGCTACTTTTATCTCCTCTTACAGGAAAGCAAAAGAATTCTACAGACATTGCATCGATCACAACATGTCACATGTTCACGTGTAGCAGCAAGAGAGGCTGAAAAAGTGGGCATTTGGCTGAGCACATTGCCGCCCTCAACCAATCAGGGTTCCATCAGCAAGAAAAGGGTGTGGACACCGGACTCTGTATTCAGTGTTTGCCATAGGCTGGGAGGCCTTTAAATTTTCTCCTTAGTGCCTACAGAGGACAGGCATGGAAATCAGAACTGCAGGAAGATTTCGGGAATTTACTTCTTTTTACTTTGTTTGGCACCAAGATATCTCCTCTCCTCATAGTGCAGCCAAACATGGATGATCCCTCATCACTCCTAAGCAACAACACGCAATAAGAAAAGTAGTATTGCCACACGCCCTTATAGTAGTGGTGAGAAAAGTCTTATGGGTTTGTTCCCATTGGCTACTATAGCTCAAAGTACTAAGCAAAAGAACCCTTACCTTCTCAGTCTCTAGTGTGTAGAGGATAAGTTTTCTTAAGCACACACCTCCATATTTGTACCCTAGAAACTAGATTTGAAACCTTGTAAAATCTCAGTTTACACACCTTTCTTATTATTTCAAAAACTACTTTTCCAATTAATGTTTTAATTCAACATGCATTCAGTGATACCCCATGGTTCCCCAGGCATCTTCCTAAGTGCTGAGGGTGAATTAGACCTACAAGGTGCCTGGGGCATACATCCTGATGGCAGAGGCAGACCAAAAACACACTGAGAGGCAGGAGAGCTGGATGGTTAAGAGCTGAACCTGGGAGCCAGACTTTAGACCTTGACTACAAATTTTGTTGCTTTCTGGCTATGTGGTTTTGGGGAAATTACTTGCCTATAGGTGCCTCAGTTTCCCCATCTACAAAATAATGAGATTAGTCTTAATACTTATCTCATAGTGCTGCAGTGAGACTAATTTCTGGCTCATGGTGATAAGAACAGCCCAATCAAAGGGCTGGAAAGCTAAAATGCAGACAATTGTTTAAAAGGTAAAAAATGGGATGTACCCATCTCATTTGGCGGCTGTATGTATTACATGGCTTAATTTCTATGAAGTGCTTGGCATTGGGACTGGCATATAGTAAGCGCTCAATAAATGTTAGTTACTATCACATTTCAAGCACTGAGTTCTTACTCAATTATTGCTCAGTGCTATGTAAGTTCCCTAAAGATACTATGGAATCTTCAAGGCCAGTGTTAACAGGTACTGTTGCTGCCTTCTTGTGCTTTATGGTTGAAGAGTTCCTCCTTCAGACACTTGTTCAAAGGAATCATTACACAAAGATGCACTTGTATGAGGTAGAGAATCTGGCCACAGGCATGAAAGACATTGTGAAGATGTGGGAATAAAGCATTGTAAGATTGAGGTTGCACTGACTAGACTGACTTTACAAAGACTGAGGTTGGAAAAAAAGAACCGAAACCCTGATAAACAGAACCACTCAGGAAACTGCACTCTCTCTCACTCCCCTGCCCCCTCCCTGCCGTCCTCTCGGCCACCCCAGCCCCCCCTTCATTAGAACACTTATGACTGGCTCTTATATCAGCATTTCCAATTAAGAGAAAAAGGGAAAATACAGCCTTGGGCTTTCATGGAAATTATTCTAACTCTCACAATCAGAATCTCTGCCTTAAAAAAAATGTATGTATGGTTTTAAGATCTTTAACTTTTCCTACAGCATTTCAGTACCCAACTTTTTCAAAAGCATCTTTTCTGAGGAATGATATTTCTTGAGACAATGTAACATAGTCTTTGCCAAGTGACTCAGTTTGAGGTAATATATATATCTTTTTTTTTTTCAATGTCAAGTGGCCCAAACTTACAGAGAAAAAGTGGGCACTTAGTATCAGTTTGATGTCAGGGTTTTTCCATGTTTGCAAGGGAGCTTTAAATACGACTCCATTCAAAGGTGTCTGCAGGTCGAGCTCCAGCCCCGTGCCAAGATGCTCCCAACCGTGGTCCTTGCTTCTGCCTTTCTCTTCTGCTCGGTGGCCAGCCAGGGGTGTTTGACCTTGGTAGGGATCAAGGACATCAAATACCTCATTGACAACCTGCAGGTAAGCTGGTGAATGGGGATGCAGGAAATAGCGAGAAGGGTAGCTGTTGAAAAGTTAAGTGAATTCTTTAGGAGGATGAAAAAACACACCACCTATTATGGGTTCTTGTCTCTCTATCTACTTTAGAGAGATCCATCTTCAAATTGCAGCTGCAGTGGCAATGTGAGTAACTGCTCTTTTAAGAAATATCTAAACTAATTTTAATTTTCACATCTAGAATCTTCACTTTGAAATTTCTCTTTTGCAGGTGACCAGTTGTTTGTGTCTGCCCACTCCTTCTGTAAGTACAGCAAAAGAATATAATCTTGATCTTGTTCTTTAAATTTTTAAGTAAAAATGATTGCTGTTTTAGATAAGCGTTACTTAATTGCAATTGTTACATATTAGCATTTCCTTTTAAAACCAGGCTCTTGAAATTCTATATTATACACATTTCTTTGTATTTAGTCAATTTTATGATGCTTGAGAGATTTGAACACTTTTACATATTTAAAAAAGAATCTTGAATGACTTTTTAGATCAGTGGTCATGTGCACAACTGAATCAAACTGGAACTGAGACTGTAACATATGATGTAGCCCACAGCATATGTTGCTTTCTAATCCACGCTGATAGCTCTAAGACTGCAAAAAAAAAAAAAAAGAAAATAAAATGACAACTCTTTATCTTCTGGTATCGATTGTCTGTGTGCTATGCCTTCTCCCTCCTTACCCCCTCCTCTCTCCCTTCCTGTCTGTTTAGCTAATTTAGGGTGGCCTCTGGGAGGACAGAGTGGCTGAGATTGTGGGTAGAGGGGAAGTAGAAAGGGCTTCCAAAGTTCATTGCCCACTTTGGCTGATAGGAAGTATGGCAGGAACTTTCTGGCTAAGGTGAGGAGGAAAAACTTATCCAAGGGCCCTGCTTTGCTCTCTCCCAAGCAAGGTCTAGGAGAATCTGAGCTTCTCGCCCCAGCTGAGGTCAGTCATCACTCCCCATCTTGGCCCATCCATTAGATGAGAATAGGATAAGGCAGAACCACGCAATTATACCACATCCCATCCCCTTAGTTTATAGTCTATGATTTAAGCTCCTGCTGAGACACTGGCTGTATTTAACTGACACCCCAGAAGGCTGGTGTGAAAAGACTTTTTCTTCTCTATATTTTCAAACTCACTATTTCAAGACTTAGAACAGGGAAGCATCGTTTGAAAAGGAGACTCAGAACTGGCTGTTTTCCAGAGCCCATAGGCCTTTAGTCCCTGGATGGAACATACTGGAACTCTCCAGGGAGTGTCACTGTGGAAAAATGGCCTCACCTTGAAATATTGATCATTTCCTAGACCAGCAAGGGACCTGTCTAAAAATAATGTCAGTTTAGGTTAGATTGGTTAAATTAAAAGTCTCTAAAAGCATTTTTTATGACTTCTTCCCAAAGTTATCCTCTGAGTGTTTCTTTTCACAAATCTTATTGTTTACCAGGACAACTGCACCACGCCATGCTTCCAAGAGGGTCTGTCACTGATGGCCAACACCACAGTGAAAACAAGTTTCCCCCTAATTTTCAATCGGGTGAAAAGAACAGTTGAAGCCCTGAAGAACAACAAGTGTCAAGTGAGTTTGTTTTTATCTGTGACATGCTCTGCTTAATTATTTCTAGGTGAATGTCGATGCCAACCCTCTCTGAATAGAACAGATGATAACATCTGAATGGGTACTTCAAGGTCGATAAGCGACATCTAAGAAATTTTATCAGAACAATAGAACTAAAGTGAAATCTGCCATGGATAGCTCATTGTTCTCCCTAGTTTTAAAAAACATTGACACCTATGTTGTCATTTTCTTCTACCTATCGAATAATGAACAAATTCATCTGATTGTAATTAGAAGCTAAAGTCTAAAAAATGAGGACTATAGCCCACATAATACTAAACTATGCTAGAGCTGCAATTTGCTGAGTGGATGTGGTGGCCTGCAAGCTAAAGATTTTTTTTTTTTTTTGATTGGCTAAGGAGATGTTTAAAGGAAAATGCACTCGGATCTAGGTAAAAGCTTGCCATTTTGCCCTAAATGCCCATCTCTTCTATAGCGCATATCCCGCCCCTAGAGGGGAGGGAGCTCTTTAAGAATTTATTGTCTCTACCTGAGTCTACAGAAAGCGAAGAGCCTTTCACTCAGTTACTTAGCTGACATGTTTCTACCATCAATAACATGTAGTTCTTCCCCACCGCACCCCCCAAATTCACCAGGCTCTGGGCTGGGGGTTCCTGGGACTGCTGTGTTCCACACTGTTTTAGTCATTTTGTTAACTTTTATCCCCACAGTTTTTTTCCTGTGAACAGTCATGCAACCAAACCACAGCAGGCAACACACTGACATTTCTGAAGAGTCTCCTGGGAATCTTCCAGAAAGAAAGGATGAGAAGCAGCACATGAAGATGAAATAGTATTTATTCTATTTATTGAATGTAAAAAGCCTCCTCTTTAAGTTGTTGCAGTTTAAAAATCAAGTAAGCCATGCTAAATATGAACCAGTTGTAATAATTGTTTAAAATTTTTAAAAATTAAAAAGTATATTTGTTTAAAATGTTGTCTTTATAAATATATATGCAAAGCGCAATCTGGTCTCTTGCTGCTTATTCTCACCTTGCAGCCCAGAACAAAGAAAGGTACAAACTGTCGAAGGGCTGAATGGCTAGGCTCACAGCCATGCCCGGGGACTGAAGGGGGTGCATTGTGAAGGGTGTGGGGACAGTCTGAGGGTTGCTACTAGGAGGCTAAAGGCATGCCTGAGATGTCCTATCTGTGGCTCTGCAGGAGGGAGGCTCAGGGTCCTGCCAAGGAGTCTGGGGTCCTGAGAAACCAACCATGTACCTGAAATGGGAGAAGGCAGCACTTTGGCAAGACGGGGAGGTGGGAAACTACTCAAGAATCTGAGCAAGTTCATACATGAGAAAGGAAAGTGCTTGAAGCTGAGCCAGGAGCAGGTCATGGAGCAGACTCTTTGGGAAAAAAAGCAGAGAAACCTGGGATCAACACAGTCATTTATTCGCCTGAAAGACCTTCAGCTAGCACCCACCATGTGCCCGGTGCAATGCCTGGCTGGGTTGCCGAGGGTAATGGGGGACCAACCTGAGGCATCCTTAAACTAAGTTGTCTGGCTGGCATAGTGTGGCTGTAGCTATCTGTAATGGTTAATTATAAGTGTCAACTTGATCAGGCCATGGGACGCCCAGACATTAGACTAAACATTATTTCTAGATGTGTCTGTGAGAGTGTTTCTGGATGGGATGAGCATATGATTGGTAGGCTGTCTAAAGCAAATGCTCTCCCCAACGTGGGTGGGCCTCATCCAATCCACTCAGGGCCCGAAGAGAGCAGAAAGCAGGGAAAAAATTGGCTCTCTGCCTGACAGCTTGAGCTGGAACATCGGTCTTCTTCTACACTTGAAATGGGACTTACTCCATCGGCTCCCTAGTTACCAAACTTTTGAACTTGAACTAATATTTTAACCACCAGCTTTCCTGGGCCTCCAGCTTGCAGACAGCAGATCACCGGACTTAGCTTCCATAACTGCATGAGCTGATTCCTTATAATAAATCTATCTATCTATAGATCGATTGATCGATCGATCTATCTATCATCTATTTACCTACCTACCTACCTGTCCGTCTGTCCGTCCAATCATCCGTCCATTCATCCATCCTGCTGGTTCTGTTTCTCTGGAGAGCTCTGACATATAGACTATTCATCTCGCCTCAGTCTACCCCACCCCCATCCCTGCCCCATGTCCAATACTCCTGATCCTGGCTTCTGTTCCACAGTATTTATTTGTCTTCTAAGATGCTCTCATTTATTAATTTACCGTGTTTATTATTTACTGTTTCTCCCTGCTCAAATGCTAACTTTCTGAGGGCAGAGAACTCTGTTATGCTCACTGTTGTATCCCAAATGCCTATCTTGAGCCTATACTACTCCTAGACCAGAGTGGGTGCTCCATAAATATTGACTAAATAGATGAAAGGCCTTTGAGATGCAAAATATAAAATGCTGTGTAGGTCAGGAATGTGCTCACCTGGAGAAGAGATGGTACCTAGAACATACTACACATATTCAGGAAGGTGAGGTCCCTTCAAACCCCTCCAGGCAGACCCTAAGCCCGGAGTTCACATGACCTTGCTATGTGGGCATGGGCAGCCCGCCAGCAATCATCCTGCTTGACCTCCCTGGTTCTGTGTGATGGGCAAGGTGGAGGCAGGGTTAAGGTGAGTGTCTTGGGAGTGGGGTGGTCTGACAATCAGAATGGCCTTCCTCTTGCTATCTGAAAGCTTAGAGGCTTGGGAAGAGCTTAGAGGGACCTACTGTGGGGAGTATTTTTCCAGGTACTGTCAAAAATAGAATTGCTTCCCCTCCCTATTGGGCTAGACTATCCTTGGGTACTTTTGATCAATAACATGGAAAGTTCAGAGCACCAAGAGAGAGTTCCTCAAAGGGCTTTTCTTGGCTTTTATTTCTGATCAATTACAATGGCAAGCAATATCCCATGTGACCTGCCCTGCAAACAGCCCTTGGCCGAAGGTGAAGTTCTCTGGTGAGCTAAGTAGCCCTGGTGCCTGGAGTTGTGTGGCTTCTTTAGCAAGGGGGTGGGTACAAGTTTCGCCCTCTGCCTATGGCCAACCCCCGCCCACATAAGAGAGAGGGAGAAGTTTCAGCAAAGATGACCCACATCAGGGAGAGTGTATTATTATCTTCTTGGGTGCAGAAATTGTGTGTCCATGAGATATCTAATCATAATTTTTTTAGTCTTAGTTTAGGCAAAGACCAATTTCTCAGTGACTTATTTGTAGGAACGTGTTTATCAAAGGGCAACAAGTTGGATTTCTAAATTCAAGAGGCTTTCAGCAGGGGACCACTGGATTAACCTTTGTCCTCCCTCAGAGCTAAAGGCCACCAAGCACTTTGCAGGGGACATAGACCTGAAGACAAATAGACAACAGTCACAGTCCATTGACCCATCTGCTTCCTGAGAGAAGTGGAAAACATTGCGTGGCAGTGCTGGGCAGGTGGGGGTCGGGCACAGTTTTCCTCAAGCAGATGTCGGAAGGATCTCGCATAACAGTGGGTATGAGAATTCGTGTTCTCACTACTTACTATTGTTTTTGTTAGTACCTCCCAGTATCTCCTGTATGACTTTTCCCCCCGAGACTCAAAGTTCTGATCACTATCCTCAACAGCCTCCCTCCCTCCTTATGCACAGTATCCAGGTGTGGCTGTCTTACCTGGCTCCCTAGCTGGGCTGTGGATTCCCACGGACAAGGCACTGAGAAAAAGGTCTATCAAATACTATATTGGTTATTATTTATTAATATTAGGTCTCTAATAACTAAGCACTTACTCTGCATGTACTAAGTGTGCACCCTCTCATTTAATCCCCAAATAACTGTAGCAAGTAGATATTATTTCTGCTTCGTAGGTAAGGAAATCAAAGCTCAGGAAGCTTAAATGATGTTCTCAAGGCCCCACAGCTAGTGAGAATTAGAGCAGAGTTCTCGCCCAGGAGTCTCAGATTCCAACCCTTTTCTCTTTCCATTCTGCTCATATTCTGTGTGCATCAAGCATGTACATTGTGTTTCCTCTGACTGCAGTCCTAGGGCAAAATAGATTCATAATAAATGGGCCCGCACTCCCTTATCCAAAAACTTGAGGGTCTTTTTAGCACTCAAGCTGTTTAGCTTCTTAAGAAGGGAATACACAATTCATGTGCCATATATTACATAACACTCACAGCAGGGCCTGGGGCAGGATTCCATAATTAAACACATTAATATTCTGCAGCAAAACACACAAGGCGATTGGGTTTGGCAGCCAAATGAGTCTCAACAAATCTTGAGCTTTCAGAGCTGTTTGGACTTCAGAATTGTGATGAGGGACTGGTAGCATTCTGCCAGCACGGGCCCCACTTACAGAGGGGGCTCTCTCTCTCCCAAGGGCTTACCTGGGGCCGGGCTGGGTGTCCCCAGAAGGGACACAGGCTTCTGCAGCAGCCTGGAGAAGGCATCCCAGGTCGCAGGAGTCGAGATTTCCCTTCTCCTTTCCTCCACCTGAGTTTTCTGAATGATCGGCCCCAGTCACAGCTGTGTCACATTATATACTGTGGTTTACAGCCTGCAGCCTCAGAGCCACCAACTCTGCGAAGCTCACCCTGCCTTGGGATCCCTGCAAGGACAGGTGCTGGTAGTTGGTTTCAGAACACAACCTGGGAACACAATCAGCTCTCAGAGAAGATGGGCAGAGAGATGAGCTGCAACTCACTGTCAACGGATTAGTCAGCAGCATAGCTTGGTGGTTTCCCTCAGCTTTTCTGCAAAAGTCATAAAACCCACAGGACACACCCCTGCAAGCAAGCTCAAAGCAGGATTCTCAGGGCCTGGATAAGGTGTGCTGTAATTACTCTCCTCCCTTATCCAGAAGGCACCTTGGAGAAAGGAGAACTAACATTTGCTAAGTATTTACTGTACACCTGGCACTGTACTCAGCATGCTTTGTGAAATATCTAGTACCTTTACAACCACGCCATTATATAATTACTGTATGTAATTCCTAGTGCACAGATGAGTAAACTGAGGCCCAGGGAGGTTATAGAATTTGCTGAGGGCATATTGCTCATAAGGGATAATGCCAAGATCCCAACTCTGGTAACTGACTGCAGAGACACACTCTTAAATCTAACCTACAGGAGGGTGGCAGCTCTCAACAGCCAGTTGCCTTGTCCTGGTTGCCAGGCCCTGGGCAGAGTTGTTTCCAGGAAATTTCAGACCAGGGTACACTGATGCTGGCCAAAGCCAAGGCTAGATGCTGCTGGCCTTAAATTTGACCAGTCCACAAGCATCTGTCTATCTTCCTATCCATCCAATTTGAAGCAGGAAGGCATTGTAAAGGCTCAACCCCACAATTCCTTTCCTACCCTGCTTCCCTCATTTGCCCCAGACTGAGGCCACCCTTCCTCTGGAAATACAGACCATTCACCCATTTAAAGTGTATAATTAGATTTTCAGTAGATTCACAGAAATGTGCAACCCTCACCGCAATCTAATTTGATAATATTTTCATCACCCCCAGAAGAAACCTTGCATACATTAGCAGCCACTCTCTATCTTTCCTTTCCCCAGCCTACTCAACTAGTAATCTATTTTCTAGCTCTATAAATTTGTCTCTTCTGGATTTTTCCTATAAATGGAACCATGCGATATGTGTTTTTCTATGACTGGCTTCTTCCACTTAGCACCGTGCTTTGAAATGTCATTCATGTTGTAGCAGATATCAGTACTTTTCTTTTTATTGCCAACTAATATTCTCTTTTATAGAAATACTGCCTTTTATTCATCAGTTGATAGACATTTAGGTTGATTCTACTTTGGGGCCATTATGAATAATCT